ACTCCTTCCGGTTGACTATAATAGCCTATTGCAAAGCGACAGTAGTTGAATCTCTTCAGCAAACACAGGCCAAGTTTCAGCTGAAAATATCTGTAACATTCTGTAGGTAGGAGAGAGACAGTTGTCATTTCCTAACTGACAGTAACACTGTCGACTTAAAAATCACGTGTAAGCAAACAAGTGCACTGACAAAGCACGGGCACTAACATCATCTCAGGTTACTCAAGCAGCTGTCCTGGGAGCAGCAGAACTAATTGTGGCTGGTTTCCCATGTCTCTGTGACTTGGTCATAAGTCCCAGCGGCTGGTTCGGGGCATCACGTATGCTGCGTGGCCAAGCGATGATCAGGCAGTGCACCCTTCCTAGGGCAACCTTTCTTAGTGGGGACATGAGTTTGGGTCTTTTTTCCATTGGCATGAAACCTGTTGCATCACCACAGGTCTGGGACTTCTGCGTCCCTGCCAGATCTGTTTGTGTTTGACCAATGGGTTCAAGAATTGCTGGAAGACTGAGAGGCACATGAACAGATGGATGGGCTGGAAAATAAACTAAAAATACAACGTATAGCGTACTGGGTTGGGGGGGGTGCTTTTTGCTCCTCATGTTGTTTTCGGTTTTCATATATCTTAATCCTAGCAGGCAACTGGCCAAGTACCCTTTTGCTGATACGCGGTGTTTGCATTAATAATTAACAGCATGGGGCTTTAGCTTTGTTTTTTTCTGCTTTTTATTTTCATAGCTTTTATAGCTTTTTTTTCCCCCTACTGATTTGAGATTCTGGAAAAACTTGATTGTCCAAAGTAGACTTTGAGTTGACTGTGTATAGACTTTGCAGGCTTCTAGATGTCTTAATATGATTGGGATCAAGGAAAATAGAATTAAAATATAACCAGTGAATTCAATGACTTGGTGAGATGAGTCCTTCCACTGACAAGTCTTTGGTCTAAATATAACGCAGTTTGGTAAAACCCATTAATTGCTGACGAATAGTGGCAGTTCAAAGGCATATATGAAATTGTTTGGAGGTTTCTGTTTAACTACTGGTATACTTCTCCTTTGAAAAGACACTGTCAAAACTAGAATTTAGTCGTAGTCTTTATTTGGAGTTACCAGATTAAAAATATCCCAACTTGTCCTATGAAGCAGGGAGGATAGGGGAGAAGGTGCTCAGAGGGGTAGGAAAGTTTTATTTTGCTCTGCCTGTTCTGTGGATGAATCGAGCATTTGCATTCACCCCACCAGCTTTTTTAGGAGCTCTAACTCAGCTCAGTACATAAAATGAGGTTTTAATGATATGTACCAGTTAAAAAAATTGAGAAGTGTTATTACCTGTCCAGAAAATTCAGTGTAATCTGAGAGGGGCTGGGACTGCTGATGGCTTACATTGTTTGGGATCAGTGGCTGGACTTGCAATCCCTCTTGCTCCAAGGCCTCTGCCTTGCTTCCCAGTTCCCCTTCTCCAGTTTCTGCTGGCTATTTTCAGGAAATGCCCCACTGAGGGCATGGCAGACCTTTGCTGATGCTCACTAGCCATTTCTCAAAGGCACTGAGACTTGCTGGCACATCTGTGCCTAAATCAACTTTAAACGCCAGCTCCTATTGTGAAGAAGCTAAGAATTAGGTCTCTCAAAATTATGAGATCTGTCTTGAAAAATACCTGATGTTTGTGAAATGCAGCAAGAACAGGATTGTTCTTAAGTGCCTGTGGCAGTGGGGTGCATTTAGTCACATCATTTCAGTATTTCTCCGTAATGCGACAGATTAGGAATGTGTTTGAGTAGAAGTTCAGACTCTCATGGTCACTTGTATCGAAGAGCTACCGCTTTCAGTGAAAAAAACACTTCCCGCCTCTGGAGCTGGTAGCATTGCATTTCACGCGCAATGACCTGCATCTTCATTCGTCTTAGATACCTTTTTACCCTGACTATGAATTACAGACAGACGTCCATCTTCTCTACCATAAACTCATTCAATTTAAATACAGTTTAGATCTTTTAGGCAATCCCCTCTGATCATATTAACCTTGACCACCTTCTGGTTTTAATAGCATCATTCAGTGCAGCAGAGGAGTGACTAACATCAGCTGCAGTAATGCCTGCATGTGCTTTGGGAATAAATGATGTAACTTTTTCACCATAACAACATTTGAGAAAAAAAAAAGCACTAAATCTTTTAACAACAACTAAGTAATGGACTGTAAGAACAGTGCCCAAGAAGTGATCGTAAACTGGATTGGCCAACACTTGTGCATTTACACAAGTCATTTCTAACCCCTAGCAAGTGATCAGAGCCCAGGCCTGCACCAGGCCAGCATGGCATAGCACCTGCAAGCTCCAGCTTGGATCTGCATGGCATTTTCCCCCAAAAACTTTCCCATAGTAAAGTCTGGTTGGCAAAGCTGCCAACCAGGTAAAACTGTTCTGTAGGTAAGGCTTAGTTCCTGTGCTGTTGACTGGCTCTCACTGCCTCCCACCAGCAGATAGAGAGGCTTTCGCAACACCCTTTTGGTCTTTTAAAGAGCAGGAGAGGGCTTGCACTGTACGCACTTGAAGAGGTAATACTACAGTACGTGGTTTCCAGAAATAACGACCTATGGAAAATAGCCTTATGGGAACCCTTAAGAGATCGACTTGTACATCAGCACATCTGTTCTTCACTTCAGTCACAGTAGCTGGGCAGAAACGAGCTGGTGCCTTACATCATAGTGCTGCCGTTACACTATATGTATCTGCTGTAAAACATGTCAAGATTATGTTAAAAGGGACTGTAATGATCTTACTTAGCTAAACTGTGGAACTGCAGTTTCAACGTAAAATTTCGGAGCAGAGGGCATGGTTCAGCCTTTGCAGCACCAGTCACCGTTCTGTCACTCCACCTGAGCTCACCAATTTCAGCAAATCCTGCTGGGCCTGAACCATCACAGAGAGAACAAAGAATTCAGCTTACTTTGGCCTTTAAGCTTTCGTACCCTTCTTCCCACCAATTTCTGTATTCCCCTTTCCTCTTGTGTTTCAAATCAAAGCCTAAAATCAAAGCTAAAGTTTCCCTAGATGGGTGGCCAGCACAAAGGCAGAGCATGGAGTTTCCTGAGCTATTGGCCGTTAGCAGCAGCCGCAGTCCAGGGCAGCACTGACATCCCACCAAGAAGTTCCTACAGTTCCTGCACCTGCTTTCTACTGTTACTGGTGCTGTGTGGTCTTCCAAAGACCATGGGATGTTCATTCTTTGCAGAAGGTTGCCGTGAACATGTGCATCTTTAAAATCCCTGTAGATCACCAAGTTACGAGAATATAGACCTCAGTAAAGTCTCAGCACTCCAAAATCAGCAGAATGCTGTCTGAATAAAAGTGTAGATGAACATGCATGAAAAGTCCACCAGTAACACATGTAGGGATTCTTATAGTGAGGGATGCTTTTGAGTATTGAGAAATATAATTCATCTTGCAACTCTGTTTTTAACTTTCAGCCTGGTCCTGTGAAACAAGGCTATTTCTGTCTTCAAAAAATATATGGGTTTGGGACATTTTGGGGACCTTTAACTTCGCAAGATTGAATAATAGTTATTAATAATCACTATTATTAATTTCAGGAGCCGAGGAAGTCAACATGCTTCATATAACATCCCTGATGCAAAGCCTCATTCCTTTCAAAAAGGAAGAATCTTGTTGAAAAAAGCAAAGGATGAGAAAACCTGCTTGCAGCCAGTGAAATGCTTCTATGAACCTGTTGATTGCTCAAGAGAAATATGGAGAGCACAAAAGAAAGGTGAACCAGTCTGCTCTGCCAGGAAAGTGAGCGCAAAATCCAAGATGGGTAAAAAGGCCAAACCGCTATAGGAATGGTTAGCAATATATAGTAACGCAGGAGCTTGGCTTCAACAGAACAAATATTGAACGAATTTAATCATCCTACTTTTTCCTATCCATCTGGCCATGCCAAAACATACCAGATATAATATATAGAAATATATGCAGTATGGAAGATTTATATTATTTAGTAATGCCATTCCCTCTTTGGGCGCTATAAGAAAAGTGACATTTTATTCAGTTTACTTGGAGGTTTTTCTATTTATTTATTTATTTATTTATTTATTCATTGAGCTGACTTTAAATGACTGCATTTATCTTGCTGGGCAGTACTGTGGCTGTATGTTTAATTATTTTAGTGGCAGCTTGTGGCCTGGTACTTTATTTTCTATCTGTGCTGTTGCTGAAGTTCAGAAGAATCCATTTAATCGGCACCTAACTACTCAATCTTTCAGCTTAGGTAGGTATAAGATCAATGATTAACTGTTACCTGCACAGACATACTTAGATGCAAAAGGTCTGCTTGAGTTGCTTGAAGGCTATTTACAGCAGTAGATTGCTACCCTGGATTTTCTGCCATATGCCCAGTTGGGCACATTTCATTACATACAATAAACTGCTCAATCCTGCCAGCAGCCACATTGTCTGTTGGTAGAAGTTTGGGCTGCTCTGGTGTCTCAAGCACAGCTTTCAAATTCCAGAAGCTTTATGGTTTTGCTATACGTACCAGCCTCTGGTGTCACTCAGCGAGGAGACCAGAAGCTGGTCCCGCAGCCCTGACAAGCACGGCCCGCATTGAGCCAGAGGAGAAATTTCAGTACCAAGTGCCAGCAGCGGGCTGTTACCAGCAGTGGCGCAGCAAGCGAAAGGCTAAAGCAACGTGTTACATTGCATGGCACCGTGTTCAATGCCTGTGCTTGGTTTTAGGCGAGAGGCCTAAAATGCCTATGATCATAACCGAAACCTTTCACATTTTTATCTCTGAAAAATCTTTACAGGGCTGAGAGATCCTTGAATTTCAACTAAAAACCCAAGAGCAAGGAAGTTAGAGATGATTTCAGGATGGGAATGCGCATGTTTACACTGGTTTGTGCCAATTAAAAGGATCCTTATTTATCAGAGTATTTATCAAGATGATTTTTTGTGTGTACAGTTTTTTGGTAACATGAATCCTCATGCCATGTTTACAGATATAAACATCCTGTTGATGTTACTGATGAGATTTGTTTTCTCAAGAAAAAGAAAGGATAGGTGAGACAAGCCTGTGTAATTTATTTTTTAAATGCTCATAACAGATGTAAATTGTTTTTGTCGAAGGTGATTTTTACAGTATGTGTACAAAGATTTGTGAAAAATGTTTTTCATTTTTTATAACTACGACTGTAAGCAGAACTGAGTATTAACAGACAGTGTATCACTATGATTACTGCTGCAATAAGCACCTGAGTTGCAATATTTTTAAAGCAGAAGATGACCGATCAGTCAGCTAGGATCAGGCAACTACAGATGTCATACATTTTTCAGTGTACAGAGCTCCCAGAAAGTAGCAGAGTGAAGAAAGAGAGTATTATTCCTCACTTTTATTTTAAATAGTGTATATGAAACAGTCAGATATATGTTTAAAGTTTCTCAACACTGTTTCAGTAGAAAGTCACAGTGTAAAACCAATTCAGGTATTTAGGTTGTAATGACATTTTAATATTTATTTAACCACATCACAAGGCCACACTTGGCCTTATGCTAGGCATTGTGTGTGGTGAAAAGGAGTTGTTAATTGTGTTGCATGGGTTTGGGTCAGATTGTATGTTAACACAACTTTCTTAGGCAAGCCACAAAATAGAAACATCCTTTATTTTTTTCTACTGCTTCCCACATCCTTTTACAAACCTGATAAAATGACCCTTTTTGAAGATAATAAAGGTGAACTTTAGAAAGATAATAAAGTAAAATATATTCATCCGTTCCTTTATCCACTTGACACTGAAAGAATATTTTTATTTTTAAATGCCTATCTAGTCTGTTAGTCACCAAAGTTAAGTGCAACTACTAGTTCTCAAATGAGATGTTTATTTTATTATTTATCGCACCAAAATCTTGACTGTAAGTTGTTCTTTTGGGGGAGGAAGAAAAAAAGAGAGTAAAAGAAGTTGCATGTTCTTAAACTTTTCAAATCCTAAGTTACAGTTACTTGCTGAACAAATGCCAGGTTAGTTAATTAGAAAGAAATTGGATGGTACTGTAACCCCAGATAAAAGTTTTTAGAATATAAACATTCTAATAATAAAGATATATTTCTCAGTTACTGTGTCATTTAAGACTGTGAAAATACAATGTTTCTTACAAAAGCCTACCCAACAGCAGAGGAAAAGACAAGAAACAGCAGCCCTGCTTGGACTTTGTTTATTACTCAGATGAAACATCACGTCAGTGAAGTTGGGCTGTCATTTTCCAAAGCATTAAAAATTAACCTGAAAGACAGCTAACAGCATCTTGCCCACATAGCTTGCACTTCATGTCACCTGCCCCTCTCCTACTGTAACGATGCTTGAAAATTATTCCTGAGATAACCCACATGGTCAGATAACCTGCCCAAAGCAGAGGCGGGGGGAGTAGAGGGAAGGGTCAGGTGAAGGAAATTAAGGGCAGAGGGGCTCCTGAGGAATGTAGGTGATGAAGTCTACCTCACACATTGCCAGTTGCTGAGCCATCATTTCCTCAGGTATCTCCCTGGTTACACTTGGAAAGAGAAGTTTTCCCATGGAGGGGAACCAGGTTCCTGTCGAGATGATAGCCCATGGGAGAGATGCTGTAGACGGCTGGACGAGGAGATAAGGTCCCTCTGACACCCAAGAGCCTGCATAATGTTCATCAGGAAAAAAGGCTCCTTCCCAATCATGTTTACACAACTTACTAGCTCATTTTTAAAGTTAATGTCTGGTCATCAGCAGAACTTGACTGCTGGATATGTGTATCACATCTACACTTCATGTCCCGTTAACAGAGGTGGAACACTGAAGAAGGATCCATACATGCACTAGGCTGAATGTAACTGGTGTTAGCTTGAGGGGACGTTGGGAGGGGGTAACACTGGAATCGGAAAATGTCAATTTCAAAATATTTTTAAACCTAAAATCTGAAAGTGTTCTGACAAAGTTGACCACTCATCTTTGAAAATGAATTTGAAGAAGAATTGGAGTTTTGCCCTTCAAGACACTTTGAAGACATCTAGGTGGGTTTTATGCTTACATCAAAGTGAAATTCAGTAGGACCTGGATGCCTCATTCCTATATACATTTTTAAAATCACATCTCTTATAACATCTCTATAACTAAAGCCATCTCAGAGCAGTATGTATACTGGCTGGGCCCTTACAGGTGAGCTTTCTGCTTAAAACAAAATGTTCTGACCAACATGTAATGCTATAGGCCAGGAAAACAAGAGACTAATTGAAACCTAGACCTTTAATTAGGGCTGTACATAGAAACAACACAATCATTTCGAGATGCTCCTGCCAGTTGAAGAGAGAGCGTGTTTTTAAAGCACTTGATGGCATCTGATCCCCCACTCTATCACAGCAGTAAAAGCAGTCTCCTCCCGCCCAGAGGAGATCTGAACACGTTTGTTTTGTTTCCAGGAGAGTCACTGGAAATATTCAACGGGATATTCGTATTCAAAGGGATGGCCACCAATTAGTGCAGTTACTAGGTCAGACAAATTACCACTTCTATCATCCCTAATAATCCTTCCAGTGCCACCGGCTTTTTCAATCTACTTGAGCAAAATCCCTCTGTTCTCTCTCTTTATTCTGCGTCACCGGATAGTTGCCTCTATTTGTTCTTACCTCAAGCTACTGCTGATTGTTTCCATACATCCTGTCTGAAGTGGTTGGAGTGGACTATTTTAGTGCTCTCTGCAGTGGGCATGGGCATTATTTTTTTTTTTTAGAAAAAATAACCCCAGAAGTGATTTTATGACATGAAACATCCAACAAGCTCTTAAAATAGATCCTGTTGTGACACGAACAAAATGTCCTTTCCCATTTTGTTGCTAATGCCACCCTCTATCTAGCCACGTGTATTTTATTCTGGTCTCTTGAATTTTCATTTGTACGCCTCTCCAAGAGAGGGAGAAATAAGCAACATAAGTTAAATGCAGTCATTGGCTTGACAAGCTTTTTCCCCCTCGCTGTCTCTGTCCTAGCATCGCACACTGCAGGCAGGTAAAAGGTGGCTCGAATTTTTCATAAAATGGTGGAAAATATAGATACAACAGATTTCGGGTTCATGATAATGTTATGAAAGAGGAAGAGGCTCTTCTGAGCTGAGAGTGAGAGAGAGAGGAGGAGAGATCCTCTGCTTGCCTGAGAAGTCACTTTCAAAGATAAATGTGATGGGTTGGAGGAATTTACCACGTGCTGGTGTGAGATGAGGGAAAACCAGAGTTATGCGTAAGGCAGCGATGAAAGGATGGGGGATGTGTTACTGCCTGCTGTTTCTTAGAGGCTTTGACCTACAGCACATGAGAATATATATGGCCTGACACATTCACTCCATAAATCCTGCTTTAGACACATGTTTTGAAGCCTAATTATTAATTTCAAAGTAATAGACTTCAGGACCAGGGCTTCCAAGAAATTCTGCAAACTCTACCCACAGTATTTGTTCAAACCATAGTTTATTGGCTTACAGTGGGTAACTGTGCTAAGGGGGCTTGTCAGCAGGGGGGATTTCTGTGCACATTCGGTACTTGCTCTCTCCCATCTCCGCTCAGTGACCGGGCTGACTGTCAGCCGGTTCCCACAGCACTGCTTTCCTTTACATTACTTTGCTGATTTTTCTGTCTGCTTCCCAAGCTCCCTCCCTCTGCTTTCTGCCAACTCAGTATTTTCAACAGCTTCTCTCATGCAGCAAGCACCTTTCCTGGACTCAGCCTGCCAATAAGTCACTGCATCGCATCGGGGACACTTTCAAAATGCTTTCTTTGGCGGGCCAGCGGCAACTGCTGCAGTAAGATAGCAGATTATTCAGCTG